TGATTTAGGAATTAACGTTGGATGTTTAGTCAACTAATATGCTTACAATATCTGTAAGGTTGATAGTATTATGATTAGGCTGTTGACTAGTCCACCTAGTTGGGGGAGTAAAGTTTTGTTTGAGGTCTACTTGTAGAAGATCAAAGAAATACTACTTCTCATGTAGAGTATTTAACAAAAAACTACCACAATTCACGGAACCGTGCCTATAAACTACCACTTTACAACTTTGTGCCGAAAACTACCACTTTTTCACTAATCTTTGACTAAAAACTACCATGTCGGGAAAGTGCCCGATTCGCCTCTTCTAAACACCTTTCTGACATGATGGGCCCACCTGTCAGCATCAATCTTCTTCCTCCTCCTCCTCCCTCTCTCTCTCTGGCATTTCCTCAAACACCTCATGTGCACTCCACGCTCTTCTAAATGGCAACGCCCCGGCGAAGCACGCGACGGTGGCCAGCAGATGGAAGCCCAGCGTCCTGGACGACGAGGTCGCTGAGCCTCACCACCTGGCTGCTCCCGGTCACCAGAGCCTTCCTCTCCGCCACCTCCTCCTCCGGCGCCAGCGCGCGCGCACAGGCAGCCGCAGCCAGCGCCGGCTCCCACGCACGCGGCGAAGCAGTCCAACACCCTGCCCCCATGCGCATAGCTGCAGCCTCGCCTCTGGCCTCTCTCAGACTCGCCGCAGCCTCGCCATTGAGTTGGCCTCTCTCCTTTTCACGGATTAATGGCAGGAGCTAGTCATGGCCGCCGCCGCGCCCGGGCTCGAGCTCAGCCATGGTTGCGCTTGCTGCTCCTGCTACTCCTTGCCGCCCGCGCCGGCTGCTCCCTTCTACTCCTCGTCACCCGCGCCCGGGCTCGAGCTCAGCCATGGTCGCGCTTGCTGCTCCTGCTATTCCTTGCCGCCCGCGCCGGCTGCTCCCTGCCGCTCCTTGTCTCCCGCGCCTGCTGCTATTCCTTGCCGGCCGCTGTTGCTGCTGCTCCTTGCCTTGCCGGCCGGCGCCAAGGGGTGCACCGCCGTCGTGCTCCGGGGTGCATCGCCGCGCTCTGGCCAGAGGAGCGCTGCCGCGTGCAATGGAGGGGCGCACCGCCGCCTAGCTAGAGGTTGTGCTCCGGACAGAGGGGGAGAAGGAGGAGGTGGGTCGGCCGGGGGTTGGATGGGCCAGCCACCGAGCTACGCGTGCTCTGGCTTGCCGGCAACTACCTCGCCGGCGAGCTCGCGGCCGTGGGGCACGAAGACGAGGTGTTTGTTGAAATGCCTAAGAAGATAGACACTGACGTGTGGGCCCAACTAGTCAGAAACACGTTTAAAAGAGCCGAATCGGGCTATTTTCAGACTTGGTAGTTTTTAGTCAAGGATTAGTGAGAAAATGGTAGTTTTCGGCACAAATTTGTAAAGTGGTAGTTTGTAGGCATGGTTCCATGAATTGTGATAGTTTTTTGTTAAATACTCTCTCATGTATCCTAAATTAATAAATTAAAATTTTAAATTTTAAATAAGGAACTTAGGATATTGATAGAAAATAATGGTTGAAAGTTTTTTCCTTTTTATTCGTAGAGATTGCTAGAAGGGGAGCCTTGGCGCAGTGGTAAAGCTGCTGCCTTGTGACCATGAGGTCACGGGTTCAAGTCCTGGAAACATCCTCTTACAGAAATGTAGGGAAAGGCTGCGTACAATAGACCCAAAGTGGTCGGACCCTGCGCAAGCGGGAGCTACATGCACCGAGCTCTCCTTTTTTATTCGTAGAGATTGCTAGAAGTCATAAAGGATTTTATTGTGTACTCCCTCTGTAAATTAATATAAGAGTGTTTAGATCACTAAAATAGTAATCTAAACACTCTTATATTAGTTTACGGAGGGAGTATTAGGTAGGAGGCAACTGAGTCCATGATTTAGTGATTAACATAGGCGTGACAAGGAAACTGAAATGTCATTGTGTAAGAGTTTTGTGTTCTAAGTCTTTAGTCCCAAACAAGTTGGGGTAGGCTAGAGCTGAAACCCATAAGATCTCGAAACCAACTCATGGTTCTGACAAGTGGATAGCTAACTTCCACGCACCCCTGTCCATGGCTAGTTCTGTGGTGATATTCCAGTCCTTCCGACCTCTCTTTACGGACCCCTCCCATGTCAAGTTTGGTCTACTCTGACCTCTGTTGACATTATCATCACATTTTACCGTCCGCTATGCACTGGAGCTTCTGAAGGCCTGCGATGTATATGCCCAAACCATCTCATACGATGTTGGACAAGCTTCTCTTCAACCGGTGCTACCCAAGCTCTATCACGTATATCATCATTCCAGACCCGGTCCTTTCTTGTGTGGCCACACATCCATCTCAACATGCGCATCTTCGCTATACCTAACTGTTGAACATGTCGCCTTTTAGTCGGCCAACACTCAGCACCATACAACATTGCGGTTTGAATCGCTGTCCTATAGAACCTAGTTTTTGTGGCACTCTCTTGTCAGAGAACTCCAGAAGCTCGGCAGCACTTCATCCACCTAGCTTTGATTCAATGGCTCACATCTTCATCGATATCGTCATCCTTCTGCAGCATTGACCCCAAATATCGAAAGGTGTCCTTCTGAGGTATCACCTGCCCATCCGGCTTTGATTCGATGGCTCACCTCATGTACTCAGTTTTAGTTCTACTAAGCCTAAAATCTTTCGATTCCAAAGTTTGTCTCCATAGCTGTAACTTTCTATTAACCCCTGTCTGACTATCATCGACTAGCACCACATCATCCGCGAAGAGCATACACCATGGAATATCTCCTTATATATCCCTTGTGACCTCATCCATCACCAAAGCAAAAAGATAAGGTCTCAAAGCTGACCCTTGGTGTCGTCCTATTTTAATTGGGAAGTCATCAGCGTCGTCATCACTTGTTCGAACACTTGTCACAACATTATCATACATGTCCTTGATGAGGATAATGTACTTTGTTGAGGCTTTGTGTTTCTCCAAGGCCCACCACATGACATTCCGTGGAATCTTATCGCAGGCCTTCTCCAAGTCAACCAAACTGATGACTCTCTCCCATAGCTTCATTGTATGGCTCATCGGCTTAATTCCACGGTAAATAGTGCAACTCTGAACACCCCCCTTGTTCTTAAGATTGGTACTAACATACTCCGGCTCCATTCTTCGGGCATCTTATTGCCCAAAAAATGAGGTTGGAAAGCTTTGCTAGCCATACTATTGCCATGTCTCCGAGGCCTCTCCACCAACGATTACGAGTCGAACGACTAGTCTAGACTAGTCGCTCGACTAGTCTATGAGTCGCAAACTGGCTGTCGACTCGGTTTCTCGTGTAGACTACTTGTATGAGTCGAGCCAGTCATCGACTAGTCGACATGTTCGAGTCGAACGACTCAAAAAACTGGGGGAGTATAAATACGATGCCTCATCCCGCGGGAGACCTAATCCTTTCTTTCCCCTCCTCACCTGGACGCGCCCGTCGAGCCCTCCTCGCGCCGCCGCTGATCTGAAGCTCCACCGTCGCCGGCCCCACGTCGCGGATCTGAAGCTCCACCGTCGCCTTCGTCTCGCGCCCCTCCTCGCGCCGCCGGCCCCTCGTGCTCTTCTCCTCTTCAGGCAGGTGAGCCTCAGTGCTGCTCTGCCTCGCTGCTGGACTGCTGGTGCTGCTCTGCCTTGCCCCTCTTTTCTCCTCTTTCTTCTTGGCTTGCCGCTGCTGTTGCTCTGCTTCGCTGCTGGACTGCTGGTGCTGCTCTGCTTGCTGTTGATGCTGCTCTGCTCGCAGATAGACTGCTGGTGCTGCTGTGCTTGCTGCTAGTTGCTGGTGCTGCTCTGCCTCAGTGACTCCACTTTGCTTGTTTCAATTGTATACTGTACTTGTATACTTATATAGTGTAATACTACATACTACTACTAGGTATTATTAGTTATGTACTGTAAGTTCAGTGCTACAGTACCATGTTGACTAGTCTACCACTAGTCTAGACTAGTCTATGAGTCTCAACCTTGGAACGACTCGTCGACTCTTCGACTCGTAAACGTTGCTCTCCACACCTCAATGGGGGATACAATCAGGGGCCATCGCCTTGCCTCCTTTCATCCTTTTTTAAGCATCCCTGACCTCACCTCAGACTCCTAGATTCATCACACAAAACGCGCCCTGGTATAATCAATGGTAGAGCTCTCATTCTCTCCATTGAACAGCTTGTCAAAGTACTCCCGCCATCTATGCTTAATCTCCTCGTCCTTCACCAGGAGCTGATCTGCTCCGTCGTTGATGCACTTGACTTGGTTGACCCCCCGATACATACCATGGTTGTGAATTTGTATTGGAAATAGAAATGGAGTTACTTCATCCTTATCTCACTGACAAATAACAGATAGTGTTCAATTGATCAGTTACCGCTCTCTTTTTTTTTTGGTAAAAGCCACACAAATTAAAATGGAGTTTATTTCCTAAAAAGAATGGATTCTTACGCCCTGTGTTAAGATGGGTGCAGGACAGTCTGGTTTGGTCTTTTCCAGCATTCTTTTCTTCGTAACTGAAGTTGCCTTGCACCATTTGTACCCTTTACTTGCTGGTGCATCATGGTGAAACGGCATAGAAGTTGGACGAAAATAATTTGTTCAATTATTATTTCTCTAAGGATGGATTGGTATATAAGTATGTAAGCCCCAAAATGGGAAGGGTGATTTTTTCTTCCCTCTTCCAAGCACAGATTGTACTAATTCTTTTCAGAAATTACAGAACAAGCTTCAGTTTTAACGTATTTCTTGGAGATATGTTTTGGCAGTTTTGTTGGGGTGATGGAATGTAGGCAATCAACACAAATATCTATTCTTTTCCAAAAAGAACTTTCATGGGCTAATATCAGCTAAACATTTTTTTGCAGGCTCTTCATGTTCAGTTTATGTTGACAGTACTTTGGGAGTTGGGATACTATCTGTACAACTATAGTAGTAGTTTTTTTTGGTGTTTCAGCACAATTGTTTACTGTGCTTGTTTTTGGAGTAGATGTCGTTTCGTAGCATTGTGCATGATGTAAGGGATGGCTTTGGGAGCTTATCTCGAAGAGGGTTTGAGGTGAGGTTTCTTGGCCATCGCAGAGGGAAATCTCATAGTGCCGTCCACGAGTTGCATGATCCAGCACCTGTAATACAGAGCAGTTGCTGGGCTAATTTGCCTCCAGAATTGCTTCACGATGTGATTGAGAGGTTGGAGGCCAGTGAGGCTACATGGCCTTCCAGGAAACATGTAGTCGCTTGTGCGGCTGTCTGTCGAACCTGGAGAGAGATGTGTCAAGAGATTGTTAAGAACCCAGAGTTTTGTGGAAAAATTACTTTCCCTGTCTCCTTGAAGCAGGTGATGATGTTCTCTTAATCTTTTTTGGTTTCAGTCTCAATTTCTGTGATCATTGTAGATTCTAATTAACATATATTCCCGTCATCTCAAAATGTAAGTCCTATTTGTTTTGTCCCTAAGTCAAACTGTTTTCTGGTCGGACCAAGTTTACAGAAATACACATCAATTTATATAATACCGAATCAATACACTCTGAAAATATGTTTCATGATGTATCTATCGGTAGTGGTTTTGTTTTGTACATGTTGTTTTTTCCTATAAACTGGTCAAAATTAAAAAAGCTTGACTTAGGAACAAAACAAATTGGACTTGCATTTTGGGATGGAGGGAGTATTTGGTTTTGACATAGCACAGTAGAAGCTTCATATATTCACTGATATGCTTTTTTGTTGGTCAGCCTGGGCCCCGTGATGGAACCATCCAGTGCTTCATTAAAAGGGATAAGTCTACACAAACTTACTACCTGTATCTGTGTCTTACCTCCGGTAAGTCTATTCTCAAGTATTTTGTTTTCTTGTGCTTAATGCAATTCCTTTGCCTTCATCTGCAGTCGCAGCCATCACTTTCCTTGTGAAGAATGCAAGATCACAACCATGCTTTTTACTGTAACAACCAAAGAGTGATGTAGTCCATGCATCATAAATAATTATGCATGAATTATTGCAGGCATTTAATTAACCATACTGATCATTGTATTTGGTGTTGCATCGTTAAACAGTCGTGCTCCAGTGCATGCCAGCCATTTATGCTTAATGTACATTCATTGTTTGCTCCTTATTTTCTTGTTGTACATGGCTGATGTATACGTCGCTCTTATCTCACAAATCTAGAGTAATAGTTCCTACATAGCACTATTTTAAAATATCCAGTCAATTTGCTTTAAGAAGATATAATAGCCCAAGTTGCAGAGTACAGTAGAAATGACAATTGTTGTTGGTTGACTAACGTCACTAAAAGACAGTGCTCAACCTGTCATCTGCTTGGTCCGCATTTGGTCAAGACGCTAACACAACTTGCATTTTAAGTTTTGAGCTTCATGGGGCTGGGACTGACAAATGCATCTGCTCGAAGTGGATCATCAGTGGCCACCCCCTGAATTGTTGTTCATCTGGAGCCAAGCATGTCTAGTCTTGAAGTCAACTCTGTAAAAGTGAATTTGCTAGATCGAATGCACCACAGCAAATGCACCATCTTGGCTGATATTCCAGCACCTGAGGCTAACATATGTGGGCACCTACCAGTAACTAGTGCTGCCATTCTTCTTCCAGTTGTTAACTTGTTCTCAACTAACCCCTCAGTGGAAGATCCTATATTTCTCTTGCAGTCTTGGTAGCCTACTTGTTAGTATTCATTGACATCAGCCACTATTTAACATATCATAACACTTTCTGCAGCTGTGGTCGCTGAAAATGGCAAGTTTCTTCTATTGGCGAAAAGACACTCCCGTCCAACCTGTACAGAGTATACAATATTTATGAATACTGATAATACATCTAGGTCAAGCAACATGTACATTGGAAAATTGAGGTAAACTTTTTTTTTGACATGCGCATCATTTTCCTTTTCGTCTGATTGTAGCCATTAATATCTTACTACCCCATTGGGCTTTAGGTCAAATCTCCTTGGCACAAAGTTTGTAATATATGATACCCAACATCCATGCAACATACCCAATGTTTCACAGTCAGGGAAAACAAGCCGTAGGTTCTACTCAAGGAAGGTATCACCGAAGGCCTCATCCAGTACTTACAGTATAGCACAGGTTTCGTATGAGCTGAATGTCTTGGGGACTCGGGGCCCTAGGCGGATGAACTGTGTTATGAACTCCATACCTGCCTCATCCCTTGAGGCTGGTGGCACTGTTCTATGCCAGCCGGACAGTGCCGTTGCTCACTCTCTTGATGAGTCATTTGGCAGCATCTCCTTCTCGAAGTCATCCATTAGGGATCGCTCCATCCGATTCAGCAGCACCCGATTCTCGGGCATCTCAATAGGTGGCTCCAGGAATGGGGGCCAGGCATTGGGTGATAATGATGAGTGCAAGGAGTGGCCACTGACTCTCCGCAACAAGGCACCAAGATGGCACGACCAGTTGCAATGCTGGTGCCTCAACTTCAAGGGCAGGGTGACCGTTGCATCTGTGAAGAACTTCCAACTTGTTGCCGCAACAGAGTCTACTGCTGAAGCACCGACCCCGTCACAGCCTGCCCCGCCACCTCCATCTGAGCATGACAAGGTGATACTGCAATTTGGTAAGGTTGCCAAGGACATGTTCACAATGGACTACCGATACCCGCTGTCAGCCTTCCAGGCCTTTGCAATCTGCCTGAGCAGCTTCGACACCAAGCTTGCTTGCGAATGAAATCATCAGCAAGAGCACCGATTATGTAAGAGACTGGTGGCCCCCTCAAAT